CCACTCTGACTCTAAAAAAATTCTTTCTAATATCTCTGTGGCTCATTTGGGCACTCAGTTTCCACCTGTGTGTGTGTGTGTGTGTGTGTGTGTGTGTGTGTGTGTGTGTGTGTGTGTGTGTGTGTGTGTGTGTGTGTGTGTATTCACCTATCTGTGCTTACGGGGTTGAGCTCTGCTCTTTCGGCCCGCCTCTCAACTGTTTCTACTACTACTATTTTTTCCCCACTCTCAACACACACACACACACACACACACACACACACACCACACACACACACACACACACACACACACACACACCAGGAAGCAGCTCGTGACAGCTGACTAACTCCCAGGTACCTATTCTACTGCTAGGTAATAGGAGCATCAGGGTGAAAGAAACGTTGCCCATCGTTTCTCGCCGGCGCCGGGAATTGAACCCGGGCCACAGGATCACGTGTCCAGCGTGCTATCCACACAGTCACCGGCGCCCACTGTGTGTGTGTGGATGCGTGTGAGAGAGAGAGAGAGAGAGAGAGAGAGAGAGAGAGAGAGAGAGAGAGAGAGAGAGAGAGAGAGAGAGAGAGAGAGAGAGAGAGAGAGAGAGATTTTATTACTTCTCCTTACTCTACATTTTATACACAGCAGCTATGCAGTTTAAGCCAGACTCAGTGAGTGTGTGTGGGGGGGGGGGGGGGTAGTTACTCCATGACAGGTGACAGAGTGGGAAGAGCACCTATTCAGCACCTCACCCATCCTACCCATTCCCTGGATGGCCTTGAGGATGGGGGGGGGGGCGATTGCCTCACCAATTACCTACATCCTTACTGCTGGTTCTGAACTATTATGCTATGTGATAATTTGATCCGTGCTAACACATTCGCTCGAAAGCAGACCAAACGAGCCTCCCACTTTGCTAAGTGGGTTCCCACTGCCACTTTGCCCGTGGAGTCCCCTCTTGTGTATTAGAGCGGTCTTCTTCACTCGCAGTCTCCTCTAGCTTAAAACCCTCTTACCAGCCAAAATTATTTCCTCAATTTTTATATTAAGATCAAATGGATCAAATATTTGGTGTCTATATTCAGAAGTCTATTATGAAGAGAGTTGGCTTAGCTAGCATGATTCTATAGTACATAGATAGGATACGAGGACAAGATAGAAAATGGGATAGGTAAACTTAGTAGGAGAGGGGAACTATGACAAACCACTGAACCATCGAGAATCAAACTCCGACCTGCAAGAATTTGACGCCATTGCTGTAGTGACGAAAGTATCTAGCGTCTAGGTACAGATAGTTCCAAACCATGACCAAGAACATTCCAAGGAACGTCCAAGGAACGTCCAAGGAACGTCCAAGGAACGTCCAAGGAACGAAGTAGCAAGAGGAGCGGATGGTCTGACGTGGCAAGCAGGGACACCTTTCCAAAATGTGTTGTGCTTCAAACCTTTCCAAAATCCGTAGTGCTTCTAACAACAAAAGGACTCTGGAATGCCCTGGCTGGCTGTGTTCCAGAGCGCTCTGGACTTGGCACAGGCGCCGGGATGCGACTGGAATATTGGCAACCTTCCTGTGGCTGACGGTACCTTATTGTGTCTCAGATTAATTAAATCCATATAGAGGCGTGGCAGCAATTTGTATAAATATGATGTACACATGACATGATGTAAACACACACACACAAAATATGTATATGTGTGTGTGTGTATGATATGTTATAATGACGATATATCATTGTAATTGTGATATATCACATTGTGATATATCACATTGTGATATATCAACACAATTGTGTTGATATATCAATTAACATCTTTTTGAAGCAATAGAGTGACTTCAACTCTCGTTCTGGTTCTCGTGAAATTTACTAGTTGTTAGCGATAGTTTTAAGTGGTTAACTGCATCTTTTTGTTTTAACTAGCAAAGGTTTTTTTAACTAATTAAAGTTGAAAATACAACAGGAGAAAAGTAACAGCAGAAGAAGAAGAAGAAGAAGGAACACATGGAAAGAGGAAAAGATAAATAAAAAGAAGAATCGTGAAAAGGACATAAGAAAGGTAAAGAAAGAAGGAATAAGAAGGAGAACACGAAGGATAGTAGGAGCTAGTAAAGTGAGTAAAATAGGAAGGTTTATTAAATATAATATATTGTGTCAGAGGGGAGGAGAATAATTACGAATGGCGGTAAATGAAAGATGAGAGAAGAGGGAAAGTGGGAAGGGAAAGACAGGAGGAGGAAAAACACAAAGGAAAGCGATATGAGATGAGAGTAATTAGGAAGACAAGCCGAGGGGACAGAGGAAAAATTCAGAGAGAGAGAGAGAGAGAGAGAGAGAGAGAGAGAGAGAGAGAGAGAGAGAGAGAGAGAGAGAGAGAGAGAGAGAGAGAGAGAGAGAGACACACACAGAGAGAGAGAGAGAGAGAGAGAGAGAGAGAGACAGAGAGAGAGAGAGAGAGAGAGAGAGAGAGAGAGAGAGAGAGAGAGAGAGAGAGAGAGAGAGAGAGAGAGAGAGAGAGAGAGAGAGAGAGAGAGACACAGAGAGAGAGGACTGCCAATAACACACATACCAAAGCCTTCGTAACCCGAAAAGAAATGTTTGTGTAGGGTTCGATCCCCGAGGCCCCCACCAGCCCACATACCGTCACAATAACCAGGAGTTTCTCTCACAGCGCCAGACATCCCGTTACATATAAACCAACACATATCAAATCAAATTTCACATGTGTGGGTTTTATTACATGTTCCCTGCCACATATAAAGCGTCACCCTTCCCTGCATCCCGGTACTTGTAATGACAATGCTACGCCATTGTTAATGTCGCTAGAGAGAAAAATGGCCCATAGTGCCACAATAGTGCCACGTGGGTGGCATATGTGCTAATGAAACGATGCCTGGAATACGCTAAATGCTTTCGTGACTTCCTATTATCGGGGTCAGAAAGGCTGTTAGTCTTATTGAGGTCTCGTTAAGGCCTAAGGCAACTACTGGGCTTCCCCAATGTGCTACCCACAACAGTTGAATAGGTCCAGGGTACCTAATGATTGGCGAAAGGAGGCTTCGATTGGTAGGTAACATGAACTAACATCTTGCTCTGCCCCGGGAATCGAACTCGGACTCGATTGGGGTTAATTCTGCTATTGACTAGTTTGAAGGTCAGTTAATATTGCGAGAGTCTGACCTTTAACCCTTCCTCGCGGTGGCCTAACGATCAAACACTGAAAATCCGTTGTTGGGGACAGGAAGCCTGCGCTTATGTTTGTTGAGGTCCCCCTCTGCCAACTACTGACCGGGACCAAAGAGCCAGAGCTCAACCCCCGCAAGCACAACCAGTGAGTACTGACCTTACCCAGTATGCAACCCACAACAGTTGCCTAAATCCCAGGTACCTATTAGACTACTAAATGAAAAGAAATGTGCCCAACCGTTTTTGTCCCGCCCGGGGGTATGAGAACCCAGGTCCCTCTACTGCATGCTGTTTCAATATTCCCGAAAATCACTAAATATTATCAAAATAATGCCAAAAACAAGGCCACATAAAGATCAAATTTCCATAACGCTGCAAATTGAACTAAACTACCGGATTCACCGCCGCCAACAAGCCTCCATCAACACATATACAAGAGCCAATGGCGTAATTTCCTCTGTCGTACCCCAACTTCAGCAGGCAAATGAAATTATTCAACGCGAAAGCGAAGGAAAAAAATGAAAAAAAGCACCTGAGAATCCACAAGTCGTTAAAACTTTAGAGTAGTTGGAATGGAGCCTCCTAAGTTATATCTCGGAGCCTCCGGTGCTGACAACTTGGCTCTTGCAAGGAGAGAAAAGTGTCATCTTTTGCAATCAATGGTCACTGAAACAACTGAGGGAAGAAAGAAGATTGGTCGCCTTCTTTCAGCGTGGAAAGTTGAAATGGCTTTATGGGGGGGTTGGCGAAAGGTGGTTTAGTGGAGTCGTTGTGGCCAACCGGTTGGGTCTGGTCTAATTACCTCCTTTCCTTCCTCCCAAATATCTTACATTCTCGGCTTGCGTGTTTTCTTCCTATTGGGGAGTGTTGTACATGTTGCTATGGCGGTGTGTCCACTCACAGGACGAGTGGCGCTCCCCAATACTGTCACTATGGCGGTGTGTCCACTCTCAGGATGAGTGGCGCTGCCCAATACTGTCACTATGGCGGTGTGTCCACTCACAGGATGAGTGGCGCTGCCCAATACTGTCACTATGGCGGTGTGTCCACTCACAGGACGAGTGACGCTGCCCAATACTGTCACTATGGCGGTGTGTGCACTCACAGGATGAGTGGCGCTGCCCAATACTGTCACTATGGCGGTGTGTCCACTCACAGGATGAGTGGCGCTGCCCAATACTGTCACTATGGCGGTGTGTCCACTCACAGGATAAGTGGCGCTGCCCAATACTGTCACTATGGCGGTGTGTCCACTCACAGGACGAGTGGCGCTGCCCAATACTGTCACTATGGCGGTGTGTCCACTCACAGGACGAGTGGCGCTGCCTAATACTGCCACTATGGCGGTGTTTCCACTCACAGGATGAGTGGCGCTGCCCAATACTGTCACTATGGCGGTGTGTCCACACCACAGGATGAGTGGCGCTGCCCAATACTGTCACTATGGCGGTGTGTCCACTCACAGGATGAGTGGCGCTGCCCAATACTGTCACTATGGTGGTGTGTCCACTCACAGGATGAGTGACGCTGCCCAATAAACTCGCCCCTCGGGGCAAAATTTATATATTTAAATTTAAATTCTCTATTACATGTTTAATTCTCTCCTGTTATCCTATTCACTTCATTTGTTGCCTTGTTCTTCCTCTTCCACCGCTTCTATTCTGTTCTGTAACCAATCAGTTTTTTTGTTTACTTTCTATCTCCAAATCTTCCTTTTGGGATTTGATTTCCTTCGGGTCTCCTGGCTTCAAGGTTGCAATGTGATCTTTACTCCTGTCAAGTTTTTCTTCACTTCTGTCAAGTTTTCCTTCACTCTTGTCAAGTTTTTCTTCACTCCTGTCAAGTTTTTCTTCTGTCAAGTTTTCCTAAACTCCTGTCAAGTTTTTCTTCACTCCTGTCAAGTTTTCCTTCACTCCTGCCAAGTTTTTCTTCACTTCTGTCAAGTTTTTCTTCACTCCTGTCAAGTTTTTCTTCACTCCTGTAAAGTTTTTCTTCACTCCTGTAAAGTTTTTCTTCATTTCTGTCAAGTTTTCCTACACTCCTGTCAAGTTTTCCTTCACTCCTGTCAAGTTTTCCTTCACTCCTGTCAAGTTTTCCTTCACCCCTGTCAAGTTTTTCTTCACCCCTGTCAAGTTTTCCTTCACGCCTGTCAAGTTTTTCTTCACTCCTGTCAAGTTTTTCCTCACGCCTGTCAAGCTCTGCCTCTAAGTCTTCATTAACCTCATTCTTGTTTTGTGCATTTCAGTATTTCTTCAAGTTACATTCTCAGAGAAGATGCCTCTTCTGAGAGCACTCTTATCTCTCCTGCTTTCTCTCCTTTGCTTCATTTTCCAACATTTTTGCATGACCTCTCGCTTCTTGCAGGTCGGAGTTCAATCCCCGACCGTCCAAGTGGTTGGGCACCATTCCTTTCCTTCGTCCTATCCTAAATCCTTATCCCCCCTAATCTCTTCCAAGTGCTACATAGTCGTAATGACTTAGTGCTTTCACCTGATAATAATCTTACCTCTCACTAGTTCATTCAAGCTTTTTTTGTTGCACTATGTGAATTGCCTTCCTGGTTGTGGTGGTGGTGGTGGTTGTGGTTGTGGTGGTGGTTGTGGTGGTGGTGGTGGTTGTGGTGGTTGTGGTTGTGGTGGTGGTTGTGGTGGTGGTGGTGGTTGTGGTGGTGGTGGTGGTTGTGGTGGTGGTGGTGCTGGTTGTGGTGGTTGTGGTGGTTGTGGTGGTGGTGGTGGTTGTGGTAGTTGTGGTGGTTGTGGTGGTGCTGGTTGTGGTGGCTGAAGTAGTGGTGGTAACTGTGTTAAGGTGTTGTCGATGAAAGTTAGTGTGTTTCAGAGTTGGTGTGAGATGCACTAATGATCGGATGAAGAACTAACTGATGCTGCGCCAGCATCCCCATCACCACAATGTCCTCCCCCACCACCACCACCACCACTATCCCCATCACCACCACCATCACCATCATGTCTTCCACTATTACCATCACCACCACCACCACTATCCCCATCACCACCACCATCACCATCATGTCTTCCACTATCACCATCACCACCACCACCACTATCCCCATCACCACCACCATCACCATCATGTCTTCCACTATCACCATCTATATCACCAAAAGGAAAAAAAAGCTGGAGGAACTACAGAGAACTAGGAACAGAGGACAATAAAGAGGGACTAAAAAGAACTAGAAATAAATACACCAAGGACAGAAGAGAAGCTGAGAGGCAAGTTGAAAATGACATTGCGGCAAAAGCTAAGGACTAAAGCTATTCTATAGGCATATATATGGAGGAAAACAACAGTGCCAGCCCATGTTTTCAGATTGAGGAGACAAACGGAAGAATTTCAACAGAAAAAGATAATGAGGTATGTGAGGACCAAAGCACACACTAGAAAGTGAAGGGACGACGACGTTTCGGTCCGTCCTGGACCATTCTCAAGTCACAATCGACTTGAGAATGGTCCAGGACGGACCGAAACGTCGTCGTCCCTTCACTTTCTAGTGTGTGATTTGGTCAACTTATTTCAGCCACGTTATTGTGACTCCTCGCCTGCGTATGTGTCTCAGCAAAAAAGATTTCAGGAGTTCTATAGAACAGAACCAACATGGAGACCAAACTTGCGAAATGAATGGCCAGAAGAATCAGTGAATGCAGTCACGGTAGAAGAGTCAATGAATCAAGAATCAGTGAATGCAGTCACGGTAGAGGAGTCAATGAATCAAGAATCAGTGAATGCAGTCACGGTTGAGGAGTCAATGAATCAAGAATCAGTGAATGCAGTCACGGTAGAAGAGTCAATGAATCAAGAATCAGTGAATGCAGTCATGGTAGAAGAGTCAATGAATCAAGAATCAGTGAATGCACTCATGTGCAATGAAAGCACAACCGAGACACAGTGAGGGAGGAAGTTTCAGGGATGATGTTTCAGGAATGAAACAAGTAGGGTGCCACAAGACTCGGTCTTGTGGCACTGCCGCTGTTCCAAATTTATGTGAGCCATCTGCCCGAGGGAGTAAGCTCGTACATATCAATGCTTTCAGATGATGCAAAGCCGACGAGGAATGTAACACACAGAGGACGACTGCAGGAAGTTAAGGCAGGACCTTCACAAACTTCAGGAGTGGTCAAACGAATGGTTTATGTAATTCAATCCCAACAAGTGTAAGGTGATGACGATGGGAAAGGGGTGAGAGGAGACCAGAAGGCATCTGCACCATAAGGGAAAGACAGTTACAGGTATTGGAAAGAGAGAAAGAGAATCTGGGAACGATCACAAACACGGCAAGCACACATAAACAGGATATCATCAGCATCATACGAGACGCTGGCAAATATATAAACCATTGTTGAGAAACCTAAATCAGGATTAACTCAAAGACATCTACACAACATTTAATAAATCAATACTGGAATATTCAGGACGGGCAAGGAATCATTACCTTGTGAAGCTGAAAGCCAAAACTGGAAAAGTACAAATCTTTGCAACAAGACTGGTGCCAGATCTAAAAGGTTTAAACTACAAGGATAGGTCAGGGAAACTAAATCTCACAATTTTTGAGGATAGAAGGAAGAGAGGGGATATGATTACAACATACAAGATGCTGATGGGTCCCAATAATAGATAAGGTGGACAACGATAGCTTATGTATGTTGTGTGCCTATGTGTATGTACTCACCTTAGTTGTGTGTGTTTGTGTGTGTGTGTTCCCAGGTATGTGTGTGCGTGTACCTATGCATGTATAGGTATGTTCCTATGTATATACGAGTGCATGAATATGCATATCCTTGCGAGTGCGCATGTGTGTATATCTCTGTATATGCATGCGCATGTGAGCAGACGAACCTAAACGGCAAAAATATATATATATCATGCAGTGAAAACACGGCCAAATCCTTGGCAATGTGTGTAAGAGCCGACTGTCAAGAGTCAGCCAAACGCTGACTCTTGACAGCCAAGCCATTTGGCCTCTTCAACCCGAAATAAAACCATGTCAAGAACTCAATTTGTGGGCCCCCCCCCCCGTCCACCCTCAACCACCACACCACCGGCCACCTAACAGGTTCTAAATCAACCCAACAGACAGGCTTTAGCTCCCGGGAGTCAGCCGTTGTGGCGGGCCTCCCCTCTGTAAGATCAAGACGATATTAAAATCAACTTAAATCTAACTTAAGGTGATGGGATAGAGGGAAGGGAGACCCATGGATAAAGTGGGGAATGGGGACGAGGTGCTGGGGGGAATGGGTGTGGATCTAGAGAACTGTGGAGGGAGGGGCGAGGTCAGGAAAGTGGATCACCATCACTGGACGGCAAAGGAAAACAAGACCGACAGAAGAGGAAAAAAAAAAATTATTCTCGAACCGAACGAAAAAGACTTTAATGTGAATCTGCAAGTCCGATACCGGAGAGTGTGTTGGGAAGTGTCCAGGGGCCGTGAATGGCAATACAGTGAGGACGCTGCTCATATTCACTGCCACACAGGACAGTGAACATGCTTCTTATATTCACTGCCACACAGGACAATGAAGATGATGTCTATATTTATTGCCACACAGGACAATGAAGATGATGTCTATATTTATTGCCACACAGGACAATGAAGATGCTGCTCATATTCACTGCCACACAGGACAGTGAACATGCTTCTTATATTCACTGCCACACAGGACAGTGAAGATGCTGCACACATTCACTGCCACACAGGACAGTGAGGATGCTGCACACATTCACTGCCACACAGGACAGTGAGGATGCTGCACACATTCACTGCCACACAGGACAGTGAGGATGCTGCACACATTCACTGCCACACAGGACAGTGAGGATCTAGTCCAGCAGCTCCTCACTAGGTGTAACCACCACTAGTGCCAGTATCTAGCACCACAACCCTCCACAAATGAACGATAAGGAAGAGATGTACTATAAAGTAAAGACTGGGGGGGGGAGGGTGGGTGGTTATAGGTGTAATGGCCCAGTTCACTCTAAGTTTGTGATTAGTTGTGTAGCTGTTAGTCGAATTAGCAAGCGAGTGACATAGAGACATGGCCATGATATACAAAATACTCACGGGACACTATACTATCCATTTACAACACAGAACACTCTCATGTCCTGGACCATTCTCCATTCACAATCGACTTGAGAATGGTCCAGGACGGACCGAAACGTCGTCGTCCCTTCATTTTCTAGTGTGTGGTCTGGTCAACATACTTTAGCCACGTTATTGTGACTCCTCGCCTGCAGAACACTCTCCATACTAACTCTCAAGGAAGTCGATGACAATGTGCGAATTATTTAACAAACTTATTGAGTAAAGGTCACCCAGGCTAGGGGCTAGATCCACGAAGCAGTTACGCGAGTACTTACGCACCTGCGGCTAGATTCACGATGCAGTTAGGCAAGTACTTACGAACGTGAACATCTTTCCGCAATCTTTGACGGCTTTGGTTACATTTATTAAACAGTTTACAAGATTGAAAACTTGCCAATCAACTATTGTTATTGTTATAAACAGCCTCCTAGTGCTTTGGAGCTCATTAACTGCTTAATAATTGTAAACAAAGCCGCCAAAGATTGAGAAAAGATGGACAGGTTCGTAAGTGCTTGCGTAACTGCTTCGTGAATCTGGCCCCAGGAGTCTTACTTTGGGCATTAAGACCCGGAAGTATTTGACTGAGCGCTGACGAGAATATACCGTTATTGCAGGCTTGAGAATTGCCAAACAGCTGGAAGAGAGCTTCAATGTGTGTGTATGGGCACAACCTTACAGGTGCTAAATTTTAATTTCTAAGTCCGCAATACGCATATTATGAGAATAAGAGAGTTTATAGTGGGAAATATGAGAGGTCAATAATCCCGAAATACCTCTCCTGTTTCAGAAACACTAAATTCTGCTCCACAAACCAAATGAGAATTATTTTTTAGAGGATGATGGAGATCAGGTCTGACAGGGAAGAGTAGGCAGACTGCATGTTCGTGGACTACCAGGTGGCCGTTGACACTGTACATCACGGGTGATTGGTCAACACGTTACATAAACAAATCAGTGGTTTAAGCTGACCAGACCACACACTAGAAGGTGATGGGACGACGACGTTTCGGTCCGTTCTGGACCATTCTCAAGTCGAATTGACTTGAGAATGGTCCAGGACGGACCGAAACGTTGTCATGAATTAATTGTTTTCGACTACCTAACCTACCTAACCTAACCTAACCTAACT